ATAAGAGAACCTTGGAGGAATGGGGCCATTGCATAGCTTTGCTGGAAGACAACTCTGGTGAGGGACTGGATGATGCTGGGTTGAATGCCAAGGCTTTGGAAGTTGTGAAACAACATCTTTTGCACCATTTTATCATTCACAGATGGAGCTGAGGAGCTGTACCCATGGCAGAACTATTGAGAAGCTCGCTTTGTTTCGGTAATCACACACAAAAAACTTCAATCTAAAGTGCAATGAAACTGAAAATGTATTTTGAGCAAATCCATATCTGGTTGCTAGGAAGCTTCTCTGGCCTGTGAGCTGATGTGACAACTACATTCTTTGAAACTTTTATCAAGCAAATACAGTCTGGAAGACTACAAGGTAAGTTTCAATAATAGTTTTGAACTTTGTCATGAGTGAGGGAAGAAAGAGTAATCTTAAACTCTTCAGGCTTTGAAAGCCTAAGGACACTTCTTTCACACTTATCTGTCTGCTTCATTTCTTATGCCTCACTCTTCGAATAAAGATTATAAAATGCCAGCCTGTAATTTGTAAGAATACTTTTCTCATAATGATTTGACCTTGTTTTTCTCACCTTATGTATCATAACTTACTTCACAAATTGCAAAGCCTCTTAACAGCAGAGTAGGTGATGCTACCTGGGCATGCAGAGCAATGAAGACAGTGCACACAACTCTCAGCAGAGAGCAATCATTTGTGCAGTGAATTTCATTTCTAAGTCTTTCTTGTTAATAGCATTAAAGTATCATATGTGTAAACAGCTTTCAGATCACTGAAATATTATTGTGTTATTGCCAAGAGTGAGCATGCAGGATCTGCTTCCAAGCAAACACAAATGCAATAACTTTCTGCTTTCAGCCCAACACAAGATTGCCTCTTCCAGCTCTACTGGTACGTCTAGTGTTACTGAGACACTTGTTGCTGGTTAAGGCACTCTTCATTCCAAGAGCTGGGAACAAAGTGCTGTGAAGGCTTCTGTCCTGCTCCAATTCTTCCACTGACTGATGCTGACTTTTAGCAGTTATTTGTATTTGCAAAGGAACATCTCTCTGCAAGATTTGTGCTAATTTACATTAAAACAAGAACAATGTATGTTGCTCCTTCCATGTCTCCCCAACATTCATGTTCTCCTGTGGGTGCCAGCTCCTTTGTGATCTATTGGGCTGTAAGCACACAAACACAGAAGCTCTTATAGAAAGCAAGAAAAGCCCTTCAGAAGCAAATCTCTGTGGCAGCTGATTCACAGTGCCGCGCTGCTTCCCAGCACAGGGGTGTCACATCGAGGTGCTCACAGGACTGGCTGTCTCCCAGAGGCACTGCCTGACAAAGTTGGATGTTCTGCAGTAGCTCTTTGACAGGCACTGTTCTCTCAGCCATGGGAAGGATCCGTGCAGGATGCAGATAACGACACTGACGCTGCACTGCTGTCTGCTTTTGGCCTGTGCTTTTTTGGCCACGTAGCTTACCCCTTACCCCACTGGCTGTTCCATCACACTTGCCCATTCTCTATCAGCATGGAGAAGCCATCCAGCTTCTGTTAGCACAGACTGGTGTTCCCAAGTGTGCACCCACGCAAGAACACTGGCTGCTACAGATGATGTGCAGCATTATTTTCCCTTTCTTCTCCTCCTGTTCCTTCATGGTAGATAGTTGCTTTGCCCAGTTATGATCTAAGCCACATTCTGGTCCAAAACTATTGCAGAGCTTCTGGCTACTCATGCAAGCAGCCTGCCAGCACCACTAGCCAAACTAAATGTCTGCATCAGCCCTGGGGGAGGAGGATGAGCCGTTTTATGGCAGCTGTAAAAGGTCATACAATAAACACCGGTGCTACTGCTCATCTGTTGTCCCAACTGGCCCAAATGGTTTGGGGGGGAAGGGTCTGTGTGTGTGTGTGTCAGTGAGCTGTCTGAAGCTGTCCTGGCTCCTCGAGATTCAGGTTACAAACTGGAGAATGAGGAATTGATTTATTTGGGATTGTTCTAGCTGTGGTGGGACTGGTTGTTCAAACGGGACTTGAAAAAGACTTGAAGTCCTGCGTCTTGAAAAAAAAGCTTTTGCCTTTCATAGACAAAATTCAAGCAGGGTGGGTTTTTTGTGTTTGTTGTTGTTAAGGACGGCACCATTATATGAGATTATAATTACCTAACAAGCTGGTGTTGCACCAGAGTCAGAGACCTACTGGAAATCTCCTGCTTTGTCTTCTCCTTGTAGGACAATCAGATTGGATTCACTGCTGTGGTTGGTTTTCCAGCTACAAGTTCAGCAGCCCAACCCTTCTGCTTCCATTGGTGTTTTTGCAGTGTTACAGGTTCCCACCTCCAGCAGCTTTGTGTCTCCACAGAGATGCACGTGGGACAAACATCCCACATCATCACTTTAAAAGTAAAAATTAAAGCCAAAATTATTCAATAAAAAAAAAAAAAGAAAAGAAATTAAAAATTTGTTTTGTTCGAGAAATCTGGAGGTTGTTTTCCAGGTTGTTTAGAAGCTGTTAACTATTTTGAAATTGCAGCTTTCATCACGTATGCACCAGCTAAATGCAGATGCCTTACACATAGCACACAATGTAGGATATGTACATTTCACATGTGAAACTGGATTAAATCTAATGTTTGAAAGCACACGGGACATCTGGCAGCATCAGGGGAAAAATCTATTTTCCTCATGAAAATAACCACAGAAATCCCTTCATTACTACTTGAGTGATACGGCTAGAAATTTGTATTTTAACAGGGAGAGCAGACAGTTTTGTTGGGCAACGTATCCTATTTGATATATGGCATGGAAGAGTGAAAACACACACACACACACACTTGCTTCTTATCATGAGTTATCCCTGTGTTAATAGATAACATATGTTTTAATTCTAACTTTTATAAGTGGCTGTCCTGAGATTTCGGAGGTCTGACCAGGACTTGGTAATGATGGACTCTCTTCCATCCCAGTTCGTAAATTTGTTTCCAGAGTATTTTTCTACTGGCCTAGAGGTCTCTTAACATTAAACTCTGCCCTTCCACCCACTACAGATGCATGAGCAAAGCTCAGACTTTGGCCACTGCCAGATTTCTGAGTCACTCAAAGGCTATAAAAAAATTAAAGCTGATAATTTTGTGGTGGAAAGTATGATAGTGTCGGGAGATCCTTGTAGCAATTTTCTGTTCTGTAGGTTGTGTTCGTACAGTTCTCACACTGTGGGCTTCAGAGGATCTTAAATCTTCAAATTCTTTCTTGCCACCAAATCCCAGAATTTATAAGGCTGGTAAAGGTGGAGGGTAACTATAAATTACATGTAGAAAATGTCTTTCGGAACATCATTGGTGATAGGCAGACAGTTGGACTGGATGATCTTGTAAGTCTCTTGGTGATTCTAGGATTTCTTAGTTCACTGAATGGAGGAGAGCTACCACATAAAAATGCATACAATTGCAACTAAATACAACTACAACAGATCTACCTCCTCATGTATCTGCAGTAACCTCACTGGCTGTAGATGAGCTGCACATCTGCTGTCAGGGTAACGATACCTTACAGTGTCGAGGCCTCTTGATAGATGTGATGGAAAGGGGGAAGCTTGTTATCACGTCTATATTTCCAGCATTATCTGTATTAATTTGTCAAACAAATTTTATAAGAGCAGCTACAGTACAAGAGCATAGTTTATAAGTCAGAGCTTGTTCCCAAAGAGTCCAGAATCTTGGACTTGGGTTGAGCTGTTGTGTCAGAATCCAGAATCTTAATGTCTAACTTCAGTTAAAATTTACATAGAGAATTCGAACGTGGCAGGCAGTCAGTTTGAACAATTGAAGTCAAAAGGAATAGCCAACTAAAATGGTATTGCTCTGGAATTATCAGTACTAAAAGCGTGCAAACAGGCAACCGGTTGAAAGAGGAATTATGTTTTAAGACGCTCCACAATAAAGAATATGTCAAAAAAAAAAAAAAAAAAATAGAGTTATTGTAACACAATGGAAAGCACAGCAAGGAGAGCAGTGCATCAAAGTCCTAGGATGCAGTAAGCGAGGATGTGCACAGATGCAACAACCACAGGCACAGAAATAAAGGAAAGAAGCTGCTTACCTTCAGAAGGCCTCAAGTAGGCAGGGATCTCCAGCAAAATGCTCACACCTCCACTGCCAACCCTTAAATGAGGTCTGGGAAGGGGTGGATCCTGGCTTCATCCCTTCTGGCTACTCAAGCTCATTGCACACACCTGAGCTCCCCTGGGTTGGCCCTGCCTTCCTACCAGGTGCTCCATCACTGCTTCAAGCCCTGACTCAGCATTTTCATTATAGTTATCTTTTACACTTCAGTAGAAGCTCCTTAAACTCCTAGGTACCACTATGTATTCTTTTTACATAGGCAGTATTGGACTTTCAGCTTTTTGTTCTCCAACTCTAGCTGGGAATTTGGGGGCAACGACTACCCTCACAGCATTGGTTGGCATGGAGCTACATGACCAAACATGTAGTTATTCTTTAAGCTCGCGATGGCTGAGAATTTCCTTCTTCTTGCAATGTGTTTCTTTCAATTTCTTTCATTGGAAAGAGTGCTGACGCAGTTGGGACAACTCTTACTCTCCTTATCCCACTGCCAAAACAAAACAAAAATACAAAACTTGTCTACACTGAGTAATCAATTCCTTTAGGAGAAGGGAAGAGGAATGAAGGGTAATTACACAGCAGCCACTGACTACGGGTCAGGAGCTCAGTTGTTCTTGGGAAAAATTGCAATTCTTCATCTATTTTCCAGCATAGCCTTTATGAATGTTTTTTTATTGTCGTTGTTGTTTTTCAGATAAAAGAGTGGGAGGAAAACTTGTAATTCCTCTTCCAAAATGCAGCCCTGGAATCTGAAAAGAGTCAGTAGCCTTTACAAAGAGCTAAGGAAAATGATGGTGCAGGCAGTTTTTAAATTGTGCTGAAATTGTACTTTTTTTTTTTCCTTTTTTTCCTTTTTTTTTTTTAGTATGCTCAGATCTATGAAGTGGTGCTCATTCTTTTCCATACAAATGAGAGATTTTCCTGTGGGTGCTCCATCTCAGCAACTTGGTAACTTGAGCTTTAGGAAGCTGGTACTGTGGAGGCCACAAGGTCATTTTCCTGGGAGAATACATGGCTGTCATCTTACAGCCAGGTTAACGAAGACCTTATGATTAGATCTTACCATTGCAGTCTGTTATAATTTACATCCATCTTTATGAACCGCAGCTCTAACGCAGTCCTCACCAGTAGTCCTCAGTCATTGCTAGGAAAGAAAAAGTTTACTTGGATTAAAAACTTTCAGTGTGAAAATAAGCAGCAGAGTATAGTTCATCAGTTACTACCAAGGGAAAAATGCCGTGCAACTGGAATGCAGTATAACAGGAATTCAGTGAAAAATCAGTTTAACCAAACGTACCTTAATTCAGCATAAAATCAGTCAATAATGGCCTCTACAGTAGGTGGGCCCTCTCCCCTCAACGTCTCTTGGTGTGATTTTTCTTCTGTTTCTCAGGAGTGTCAGCACTGTATGTGGCACTGCCATAAGGTGACAGGTTGAATCACAAATTAGCAGCAACAAACTTTCAAATCACGCTTCAGTAAATCACACCTCAAGCCTGTGAGCATGGATCCAAATGCATGCATTCACTTGCACATACACCCTTCTTCAGGTTACGTGTTGTGTGGTCTCATAGCTGGCAAAATATGGTTCTGAATTTATCTTTTACTTTACCTTTTTTTTATTCTTTTGCTTTAAAAAGGAAGAGTTTGAACAATGCTATAGAATCTCTCAGAATTAGTGTGTGCCAGTGCAGCCTGCCTTTTTGTTGCACGTAACCAATACTGTCAATGGCAATATTTGAATGGAAAAAGTACTTTCAGGCAGCCATTTTTCAACACTTTTTCAACAATCAGCACCATTGGCCATGCATTATCACCAATGATGAACAACAGCCTGCATGCCATGCTTGTAACAGCATGCACCAGCAGAGGTGACCCACTGTCACTGTTGAAATGCACCACCCACCCCTCACTGTGCTCACATCCACTGTTTGGTCTCCATAAATATTCACCAACTATCAATGAATGCCATTTTTTTTTTGCATGGAGGAATTCAATGACACATCTTTCCTTCATCTGCACTTCTGTGTCAGATGCCATTCTGTCAGGCTGCCCCTCTGCTGCCATCCGTCACACAGCAACAACACATAATGGGATACTGGCAGAAGGTTCAACTACTTCTATTGCCATACCACCACCATCTGCTTCTGATGTCACGGGTCAAAGTAGTACCACGGGAGGCATTACTTTCAAAGCAGCCCTTATAAAAGACATAATAAAGTTAACCAGAGTGCTCATCAGAGATTTCTGATGAAATCTTACTCTTCTTGAGCTTCAGTCTTGACTACAGTTGTTCACAAGTGGATGCACTACCAAAAAGAGGTGACACAAACAAGGTGTGGCTGTGAAGAGAGGGATCTTTCTCTCTTACAAGTCTGGTAAAAAGACACGATCACATTCTGCATTGCATCTCTATACATTCCACTTGAAAATTCACAGATCATGTTCTTACGCCAACTGAATATGGAGTTGCAAATAAACCAAAAAATTCCTGATTTTTTTTGCAATCTTGAAACCTGATCTCAAATTCCTTCATCACAATAGAAAGCATGGCTGCATATCTTTTGCTGTTCACAGGACTGTGTTTAGCCAGAGTATCAAAATGCATAAGCATATTTGCCACCACTTGAGTTAGCTCTGCACTGCTGTTCTTTGCCCAACTTGCATGAACAGATATTAGATCATATTTAAGACCTGTTAACTTGATACTGAAATTAGTAAGTTTATTTCTCTTTAAGAACAATGTGCATCTGCTTCAGGTTTCCAGACTTGTGATAATGCCAACTGGAATAAGACAAAGTTTGAAGTACAAACCAAGAGAAGCAAGTTTTGTCTGGATGCAGTTGTGAAAAGAGAAAGTGGGTAATGCTACAGTACATCTCTCAGTGTCCATCTCTTCTGGTTTCCTAGAAGGCTGTTCCAGTCCCCAGGCTGGGCATCAGCAGTAGTGATAGCCACAAGCAACCATTCTTCAGCCTACACACTTGTCTACATCAACAGACAGGGCTGGGGAGTTTCCCACATCACACAGTGCAGAAGATCTACATTCCAAATTAATTTAAGACTTATGTTCAGAGATGAGCACTAAAACATGATGACATCAAAGACGTTTACAATTCACAGCCACACATCTAAGCTCCATGTGTTATTTGGCCTTTAACAGTTTTGATTAAATGGAAACAGTGCTTCAGCTTCACATAGTTTTTAAGAAGTCTTAATAAGAAGTATAAAAAATGCTGGACTTGCTTTAGATGTTTCTCAAACACTGGTATACCCCCCACATCCCTGTAAATGCAATGAATTACTGGTTCTGAATAAGCACTCCAGTTGGAATCGACAGGCTACAGATCTAAAGAATTCTAATGAAAAAAAAAAAAATCTCTTTTTCACATGTTTTTGGAATAACGAAGTGTGACTGTTTCAGAATGAGAATGTAAATGAACACTGCCCCAGATTAAGGGTACAGTTCACAATTCTGAGTTCACTTGAGGTTCGGTGGGCACAAGCAGCATCACACCAGTCTTGAAAAAGGGATCCCATGTTCCCACATCACCCGCATCAGCAAAAGAGCTTGTCAGCTGTGAAGTGCAACGCAGCATGCACTAGGACACGGGGTGGCTGCAAAGCAACGAAGTGCTGCCTGGCATAGGCAGAAAACCACTGCAGCAAGGCCTATTTGCACAGCTTATTAGACAATAAAGAAAAATCCCCACTGAGTCCAAGCTCTGTAATTTGAAATTTGTTTGGCAGAGAATGGTTTTAGACAGCAACGAGATTTTTTCAGAACGTCTTATAGCTCCTACTACCAAAACTAACAATAGATGGCTTCAAAATCTAAATACAATTTAGATACAGGCCATAAAGCTTGAAAAACAAATTCTTTATTAAAAGAAAAAAAATCACACAACTTGCAGTAAATCCCCTAAGAGCACAATATTTTGCAGAGCTGTGTTTGTGCTAGGTAACTGAAATGGCAAACAGGCTGGTAACGGCAAGAAAGGAATTCAGGAAAGAAACAAGTTCTTTTGTCAAAATGGAAAGACTTAGAATCATAAAAATCATCGAGTGGTTTGGGTTGGAAGAGACCTTTAAGACCATCTAGTTCCAACCCCCTCCTATAGGCAGGGACACCTCCCACCACACCAAGTTGCTTACAGCCCCATCCAGCCTGGCCTTGAATCCTATAGGGAGGGGGGCAAGCTGTCTTTTGTTTCATTCCTAAACTAGCAACAGCTCACAGGTGTGTTCATTTTCCTTTGCCTCACAAGATGTGTAAACAAGGGGCAATAGAGGGGTGCCAGCACAGCCAAGAGTTTTGTTTTATTTCCAGAGACAGTGCTGAAGAGGTTTGCCCAAAATAAATCTAGATTATCTTTTCTTTTATAATCATTGTGTTTTGGAACAGGCGATGACAGCTTTTATTACTGAGAGCTATTCGTACTTCCTGTGGAAACAGGCAGTGATTTGTCTACAACAGACTCTGAATACAACAGTTTCACATATGCTCAGACAAAAGCCCGAAGCTCCTTTCGGCATTGGAAAAAAAAACCTCTCCTGCTGATTTTAGCTCTGGGCTTCTGCAGCCTCTGGGAGCTGACAGCTCAAAGCTGCTGTCTGGGGAATTGGTGTCTCTATGGGCAGAGGTGCTGAGTGCCCCCCACCCCAGAGCGTCAAGCTCACCTTCCATTGGCAGCCATGAGGTTGATGCCTGCTGCTGGCAGCCTGGAGATCTGATAGATCACATTCCACATTTGCTTATCTGGTGGGTCCAGCTGCCAAATGATCTCCAGGTTTTTAGCTGCTTCCACAGTGAGCACCTCCATCACAGCACACACAGCAGCAATGCAGGCAGCCATGCGGGGCACTCTCAGTTTGATCCTAGAGCAGAAAGAATGACATTGGATGTATCACAGCTTCTAGGAGGTAACCTGTTAAAAAGACACTCCGGGAATTGGTTTTCCACTGTGTGCTGCACATACTGATCCAGTACTCTACATTCTCATCGTTTAGATGTGTTACAAAAGGGACGTGAAATTCAGGGGGAAAATCTGCCAGCTCCCTACAGTATGATATTATTAAAACATCGGTTGTCCTCCTGCTTAAGTCTGCAGATTTAGCATATTTAGGTAACATTAATACTTAATCCTTCATGTCAAAACAGCAAGATATAAAACGGCGTAAACGAAAAGCATGCAGCACCTCAACATTTCAAAAACTACAGGCTGCCCTCAAACATAGTAGTGAATTGAACTCCAGCAACTCTTCACCTTCATTTTACATACCAGGAAATTAAAAATAATTTTAAAAGAGACATTCAGATGTCTTTTATAAAACGTATGCTATGTAGAAATGCAAAAACTAAACAAGAAAGCATACACCAAAATCTAGGTATGATGTGCATGCAAACAAATTGAAACAGGCAGCTGTTTACAGGGATTCAGCACTGACTGGCATAAACAAAAAAAAGCTGTTGTTAAAAGGTATGCATTTTTCCATTGCTGCAGTAAAGCAGCTGACATTTTGCAGGAGCCATCTCACCTTTTGCCGATCTAAAAAGGACCAAGGCATTGCTGAGTTATCTTCTTGCCGTTGTCATTGCTGGGGCAGTGATGAGAAGGTCTCACACATGCATGTTTGAATGCTGCCACGTGTCCATGCAAAGATGCCCACTTTGTCATTTTATAGAAACAAGGCCTTACGTTTGGACTTGAAATGAGCATTCTGACAGTAACAAGCCATCTGAGGTGAGGCAGAGATAGCAGCGCTGGCTGCGTGGGCTGCTGCCATTCATTTTAAAGAGGACATGGAGAGTGGTACTTAGGGTTTACAGCCTCCCTCCTCCTTTCACACAGGAACATGGTGGACACAATCTATTACTTTTGTCTTCAGGAAAGAGTCTGGATCCTATGCTAGAAGCTGCTATGCATGCTTAGAAGAGAGAAGCTTCCAGAATGGAAATCACAGCAGAACGGCCATAACAAACAGCAATGAACTTGCAGGTCAGAGACTGACAAATATAGCATAAAACAAGACAACCAAACCTCAAAGAGGAGCTCTTTGTATGCAGTGGGTAGTAAGAGAGCTGCATAGAAATCATTCCTTCACCCCAGCCTTACCTAGTCACTCTTAAGCCAACATCTTAATTGCTTCTAGATACCATGTGTTACTTTGATTTAACAAAGCATAGTATTTTGAGTTCAAAAGTCCTGTGGCCTATTCAGAAGGGCTCACTTTACACAGCTGGCCGAAGCAAACTGAAGTTCTGGCTAAGCTGGAGCGGAGGTGAAGCCTGACCACAGTTCTGAATTACACCTGTGGAAATCCCAAGCATCAAACCAAGATTGTCCAAACATGAAGAAAGCCGACTGACACTTCCAGTCCTGTGTGCTGACAGGTGATGTGTGGCTGAGCACGTAATGCCCCTCAGCAGTACCACTTTTCCTTTCCTCCTCGTGATAACAGACATTGGGGTTAGACCCCAAAAGCAAGCAAGGATATTACAACATCCAGATTATCATCTGGTCCAGAGCTGTTAAATGGTTGAGTCATCAAACATTCTGTTGACAGAGAACAGAAGACTGGGCTAGCATCCACAGGTCATGTAGGACAGCACAGCAGTTGTTTAGGATCCTGGATCAATGCAATTTCTGATTCAATCAGCTGGCAGATGGGCATCTATTCTTAAATGACCTCCTCACTCAGAGCATTTCAGCTCTACATTCAGTTTCCAATTAATTCATGGGTAGCAAAAAAGCTGGAAAATACTACTACAAAGAGGTATTTTTCTCTCCCAAGCTCTTCAAAAACAAGAAATGAGAGGTTTGCCCAGAATGTGCTGTACCACAGTGTGTTTCCTGTCATTTGTTTTGGAGACAGATCATTTGGGGGAGGTCAGAATGTTTTCATTACTTTGTTATGAACTTCCCCAGATTCTCTGGTGGCTTGGTTTCAGGTCATCTTGCCCAGAGGAAAAAAAAAAAAAATAAGGATAAATGCAATAATGATTCTAGCAGTGTAAAGAGAGAAAAAAAATTAAAGGATTTTTTTTTTTTTTAAGAGGCAAGCATCTGCTGAATTCAGCCAGCCATGTCAGTTAACTAAGCAGGCTCCTCGGGCTGCAGGGAGCTGCAGCAAATTCAGACCCTGGTCATTTTTAAGAAACAGTTTTTAAATGGCACTTTTAGAAAATTGAGTAATTGAAGAAAACATTACTGCACATCTCTGCTGTGGCACAAATGCAGAAAATCATAAGACACACAGGACAGTGTTTACAAGACACAGATTCCCTAAGGCTAATACCAAGGAGCCAGGAAACACAGAGGACATTCTGGGGATGCAGCAAGTGAAGAACAGTAAATCAGGGAGGTTTCTCTCTAAGGACAATTAATCAACATATTTTCAATCCTTCTGCCATAGCCTCAGCCTCCAAAACCTCCCTGTATTGCATCTCAGCCATCACAGCTTTTTGTCTGGGAGACAACAACGAGAATGAGACAGCACTGTAATTTCACTTGAACATACCTGTAAAAGTAGAAGCTCTTTAAAGCACGCTTCATTGCCTATGTGTTCATCACAAATTATCCTGTTTATTTCTCATCCCTGAATGAAAAACACCCTCATTAAATCGCTATGTCCAAATAGAATCTCACTTTCTGGGAAGACAGGTTGAATACATATCCTTCAGCTGCCCCTTTTCTACCTTAACAGTTCTTAACCCATGCTAAATCTTTGGTGTTCACAAGTGTGGTGTTTCTCTGCTTTTTCACTTGCTGCATACTTTGTCTATCTTCTTCCAACCATCTCCAGGTCTTTCCACCATCTTCTTCAGGGTAAAATGGCCCTACACCCATCACAGTTAAAAGCAGCAGGTCTTTACTTCTATTGAAATAAAATGTGTGAATTCTTTGTTTGTCCTGTCTAGGTCCCAAAATTCCTATCCCTCTCTCTCTACTTTACCATTGCACTTAGTATTTGCAGTCCCACTCCTTCTTCATAAATATTCAGCTTCTACAGGTCTGTTTCAGTCACTCTGCTTACCCTTTCAGTTCACAACTACTTTATTCCCTATACGAAAAGTTATTTATTCTCTGATCTCATCAATATTCAGTTTTTTTATTCCCATTTATTGCTCATCCGGATGTACTGCTTTTTCTTCTGTATATTGCACTTCTAGAGGCTCAAGAACTGAGGAACAAAGCCATTAAACTTACTAAAATTACATCCCATTGTCATCATCTTGCCAAGTGGTTCAATGGGAAGGCTGGCTAGGATTCTTCCAAGAGATGTCAGCTCACTGCTGGAATCCAGGGCATGAAGCTCTACAAGATCTCTTACCATCAAAGACAATTTTCCAAGCAATCTTTACATAAGAAATTCAAAATTTTAATGACTGAATTAATATCGAACCTCATCTATGTTTAAGTGTAGTGTTTGCAATAATGCCTATCTGATTTTCAAAAGTGTTCTGAGGTCAACTAAAAATATAGATATATTTATACTCATGGATGTTTTATTACCTTTTCCACAAGTAAGCTAATTACTATTTAATTCACTAATATATTTTTCCTTTTCTTTTTAGTTTGCTTCTGTACAAACCTTTTTTACACTATTAATTATAGTTTTTTTAGGTCTCTAAATTTGATCAAATTCATCTAACCCAATTTCTGCCTCACAAAACCAAAGCAGCTGACTGTAGCTATCCCTACAGTTGGTAAACTACAAAACCCTCAGTTCATCAAAAAGAGAACAACACAAAGTCTTCCTTCCATGAGCTTATACACAGCATTTGTCTTCCTTTCTCTCCTTCCATAATCCAAACATTTTCACTTGAGCTCAACCTTTAAGCTATCAAACCACCAGCAACAGTGGCTGTTTCCTTTGCGGATGGAAGAGCCCCCTGGGTTTCCTTAACTTTCTTAATGATGGAGATTGGAGATGTGGTCCATCTTCATGTGGAGATTTGGTCACCATCATTACACTCCACAATTCTGTGCTCCCTTCTGTTCTCTTTCCCTCTCTCAAGTCTGTATGCCAAAGAAAACCTATTCAAATGTGATCTTCAAAAACTCTTAAGAAACAAATGAAAAATGCTAACGTACTGTTTGCATGCTCTACAGACTGAGCCATCGTGTACTTTGGGAAACTTCAGTGTAATTAGAGAACTTACATCTATTGTGTCAGCAAGAAAATGGGAAACCAAACAGATAATGGTCTCTTAGCCATTATCAAATGCATTTTTTAGTATCTGTTGGTCTAAAAATCCTAAAGAAAAGCATTTCTTATAAGAAAAGTAAGAGAACTAACATTTTAAGTCAAAAACTCATTCCAGGGAAGATTAAGGAGGGAAGACTGAGGGTGGATGTCGTGGGGAAGTTCTTTGCTATGAGAGTGGTGAGGTGCTGGAACAGCTGCCCAGAGAGGCTGTGGATGCCCCGTCCATCCCTGGAGGTGTTCAAGGCCAGGTTGGATGGGGCCCTGGGCTGGATTAAATGTGGAGGTTGGTGGCCCTGCATGTGGCAGGGGGGTTGGAGATTCATCATCCTTGAGGTCCCTTCCAACCCGGGCCATTCTGTGATTCTATGATTAAACTTTAACATGCTAGTGATTTTTTTAAAAGTTCTGGTCTCCTTTCTATACAGAAGCATTGTAGTCTCTTTACATATTGTTTTCCCCATAAAAGTCATCAAACAGATACTTCAAATTACTTAAAATTGTTATGAAATGGTTATTCAGTGACACAAAGAACGCTCAAGGTCTGTGATCATTGCTTTAAATCCAATGCATAAATGTCATTCTCCTCTCTGCTCCATCTTATTCATTTTCCACGTGGAGAAACTGGAGAGACTGCCTAACTCCCATCTCCCTTTCTTCTGTTTTAGGAGGATACTGATGCTTGCACATTCAGAAACTGGAGATTTAATTACTCAACAAAATGTTGAAATCTCAGGTTAACAAACTGTGGAAAGCAGTAATTAAACAGAAGCCTACTTAACCCTCTTTTTAGTGGCTTTATAGTAAATGCCTTAGGCATTGGACTGTGTCTATGTAATACACAACAGTGCCACAGCTGGAAAACAGGAAGCTGGAAGCTAGCAAAAGTCATTGGTAACAAAACAAGACTTAAGTTTGAAGGCTCAAGTTTCTTAAAGGAAAGATGCTCCACCTGGGAATTCAAATATTTCTTCAGCTGCAAGAAGACACTGCCACCCACACAATGCCTCCAAAAAACACCCTGCTGGTTTGGTCAGCATGCTACTACGGAAATAAGCTTACAGGAGAGAAGTTAAAGCAGTTTGTAAATGATCACTATACATGGGAAATCACTCAGACTCACCTTCATTAACACACAGCCTTGTGAGCTAACAGTGGTACTAATTAGCGAGCGTTCAGTTTCCATCCCAGCACCCAACGGTGGTGGTTCTATCGTTTAGTCAAAAAGCGACCAGTTTCTTGAGGGTATTTCACAAAAGGATGTTCAAAACATCTCAGACATCACAAGAATTTAAGTCAGGAATGAGAAGAGAACAAAAAAAGCCCACATTTTTTGAACATGCACTCTGATGACCAACATGATTCATTCTATCAGCATCAACTGTTGCCTCTCAGAGCAAATACTGCTTCCTAGCCACTCCATCATCTCTCACTGCATTCTTCTAGCCTTCCATTCTTCTCAGTTCTCATCTCAGGGACCTGCTAGAAAGAGAGAGCTTTGAAGTCTTTATCTCTGGCATGGTATTGTCAATGGACACTTAGCTTGCTGGCTGAAATAGGAACTCATAGGAATAACCACACTGAGTAGCAGACAGCTTGAAAAGCTTCCAGGGCACCTCAAAAAGATTTGACATTGAGATGGTATCAGATTTAGTTGATACCTCTCTGCACAAGTCCAAAAAACACACACAGTTTCCTTCCCAGCACCATGAATTCAGAATATTTTGTTTCTGTATTTTTTACAGGAAGGTAATCTTAAAATGATGAAGTAGCCTACTGTCAAACATTCTGAATTACAATTACTACATTGTTCTAGAATGAGACTAAATCTGAAATAATCATAGAACGTGAGGGAAGTTTTGGTGCAACTGATGCTTTTAGAAGCTGAGTGCCCAAACACAGCTATGCTCTGTCTGCTCCCTGAGAAAGGGGCTTGCTAAGTTTCATGAAGGAGACCAGAGAGTGTAACAGCTGTGTAGACTTCTGCAGCTGGCAAAAAGATTTCCATGGCTCTACTGACTGAGAAACAGTTTGGCCAGTAGAGGAATCAGAAGCCTCAGCAATAGGGAAGGTGCTAGAGCAGCAGTTCAGCAGTGTTCCTGACCACAGAATGGGGATGGAGGGAAAAGAACATCTGTCTTGCCTGGATTTTACCACCTTCACGACAAAATTGCCTGTTATGTGAAAAATTCAGCTGCTTGCAACATCTGAAGGAATGTTTGAGAGCCTTATTGTCATTCCAAAGCTCTTTTCTGCCCTGCCTCAGTTCTCAAGCAGCATTATATTTTCTCCCGAGAGATTCTTGAGGTTCACAGGGAAGTTCTTAATAAGATCATGAACTATCCCTTGACTTCCTACTATGAGTAAAAGCATATAAACACATATATGTTTCTAAAGCAAAAGAACCAAGATAGCCAAGAATTCCTGCATTTCCTGTCTGTGCTTCCTGACTTTATTTTCCCAGTTAGATCAGAAGTAGCATGCAACAGTTCTAGGAGAACTCTCCATGGTTATTTTAATTCTGAAGGGCACAGCCTCACCTTTCAAGAGTTCTGTCACACAAATGGAAACGAAACCCAGCACGCATACGTCCTGCTCCTCTTTTCTGCTGCTGCAAGTTAGTTTTTGATGCTCAGACTGATGTTACTGTGAGCAGAGACCAGCTTCGCTTTTTATCTGTTACAGAGTAAAGCAGAAGATCTGATGTTCAACATCTTAAGTCCTGCCAAACCAGCTCTTACTTCATTCCCTGCAGCCACACTGCTTTTAAGAAGCAAACCATCCCTGCCTGACTAGCTAAGCTTTGGCTACTTAACCATCTGTTTGTAAACCAAAGCATAGCACTATTTATAAAGCACTGCTCCAAGCTATATACAGAATGAAATGCTCAGAACTCTCTCAAAACGCTCCAAATTCTAATGCGATTAGTGAGATTCCTGTGTGTAATTTGCTCCCAGCTCATGCATAGCAAGACAGGATCTGCAGCAGACGGCAACAACCTTCCTCATTTCCATCACCTGGGTGCTGTGTGTTCAGAACACCCATTTGGCACTACGTATTTACAATATGCACCTCACATGAACGGTGCCAGCATGAATGCAGATGACCAAAAGCAGCCCACTGAGATGCCAGTGCGGTTTGTAACTCTACTGAACAGCTAAAGACAATGCAAATCTGTCTTGAGTGAGCTAGAGTCCTCAAATTCAGCTCTGGGATTGTGGGGCTGTGGGAACACAAGGCAGTTCTGTGTGGTCAGAAAACCTTTTTTGCATTCCAAAGGACTGGATTTACAAAACAAAAAGCTATTTCGCAGGCTCGCTCGCAGAAGTCTATGACATAGACCACATAATTGGTGGTGATGCTGGTTTCAGCAGTAGACAAAACATCCTACAAAAAACAGGAAAAGTATACTGAAAAATCTACGGATAGACTGCAAGATAAACCACATAACCTCTATCAAACCCAAAACAAATGGAAAACCAACAGTACATTCTACAAAAGGACAACAGCACAAAGCATGGTTTGGTCCCCACAGACAAATTATCCTTTTCTTATCCCAGGAAGCCCAGGATGGAGCACTGGACGAACACATTCTGTCATTCACACCTCCGCCACAAAAGGACAAGGGCTTCTAACTGCTTCCTCTGTGCAGAATTATGTTATTTTGAGGGGGGACAAAAAGCTAAAACACCCAAATCTTCATGCACATATATATATATATATGACATTCACATGCATGTAGATTGGAGTTTTCACAGCCTTACCTACTTCAGCCTCAAATGTTGAGGAAGAGATTACCCTCTGTAGAACCTGAACCAGTTCTGACCAGAAAAGAGAATGAAGGGAATTATCAGCACATTGTATAGGGTAAATCTTACTGTTTAGCTAAAAGGCTGTTCAGGTAGTTAGAGAGATCTGCATCATTATGTAATAGCAAGCCCTAGTAATAACCCTTGGGAGTAAAGCCCTGTTAAAAACTGAAAGAAAGTGAAGAGCTGAATATTTGGCTTTTTCTGATTGCTCTATAAAAAGATTTCCAACCAACAAGTAGCTGAAGTTCAGCAATTCTAGCATTAACTGTTTTGGCACCTAGGGAAAGCTAACAAACACCAGGCTGTATCTCACATCCAAGAAAATCCAAAAGAGTCTTTATGAACACATCCATCTTCATGCCATTCACCCAAATCAAGCAAGTGACAAAGTCTCAAGCAGTGCTGTTGCACACATCTTTCTTGCTCGTGGAATTGCCTGTGACAGTGTCATTGAAGCCTTTCACCCAGAGCTGCAAACAGAACTGCTGATCTGCTGTGGGTATAGGGTCAATTGCCTTGAAAATCAATAATTAATATACAAGTGCTAAATTGAAGTTGCTAATAAGCACCAGAAAACATTACCAAACATTACCACATACCTTTGTATATATATATGTGTGTGTAGCTATGTAGACAGATAGATGCACATACATGCTCCCATAGGTTTTGGATGTATAAATTGTGGCCAGAAAATCCTTCATACCTATTAAAGGAAACGCTGCAGTTCGTTCTCAGAGCGTAAGATTGTACAGCAAAACCTCACTGAGGAACACGGAGAGGTGTAGGCAGGGATTCTGCCAAAACGCAGCGGCAAACTTTGCACAGCTTCACTCTCCCCGTCCTCCATCTCAAACCCTCAGACAAGGACAGGAGCGAGCTCGTGCGTCCTCTACTGCTGCTCCACGTCATTACAGTTAACGACAAGGAACTTCATTAACTGAACTGATGCTCCAGAGCAGCAGCTCTGCTATTCTGCCCGTAGAACAGCAAAGCCTGGCTCCCCAGCACCACGTGCAGGACCCTAGGAGCCACGATCAGCCCAGCGGCACACAGAGCAGATGCCAACCCAGCGGAATTTAATACATTTTGGCATAAGTTCAACAGATGTCCGTAGTTCTTTATGACCTGTTTTCACAGCACCAGCTTTTTAACAGGCTGCTTCATGCCTGAAAAACAGCTCAGCTCACTTCTCACTCACCCTCTGAGCACCCAGATGCCTGCACTGAGTACCCCAGGTCCCCACGTGAGGGTCTCCTCACAAAGCCCCAATGGGATCACCCTCCCACCCAACACATTGAGCTCACTTCTCCCCAAGGGCCCACAGCTACCCCCCCTGCCCAGCAGCCAACCCAGTGAGCCCTCCCAGCCAGGGTGCAGAATGGAGCTGGGCAGTGGTCAGGGAAGGCTCCACCCCCACAGGAGAGCACCCACCCCATGGCAGGGCTGTGTTGGGAGGGGTCATAGACACACCAAACATTTGGGCTACATGGAAATGGTTGCAGAGACCACGGCTCATTGGAGAGCTAACAGATGTTAGAAAAGGGTTGGTTTTCTTTTGTTTTAAATTTTGCTGGAAGTGAAGATGTGCAAAGACAATGAGAGGAGGTATAAACAGTGATTTGACACAACTAATGTATACCAATGACTTGGTGAGGAACAGCAGAACACCAGCCTGAGCAGGCAGGTTGTGTTACAGCAGTGATACCCCAGAGCTACAGATGCTCAGGGAGAGATAAAACAGAGTCATAGAATGGTTTGGGTTGGAAGGGACACCAAGGATCACCAAATTCCAACCCCCTGCCACAGACAGGGCCACCAACCTCCAGATCTGGTACCAGACCAGATGTTGCCCAGGGCCCCATCCAACCTGGTCCTGAACATCTCCAAGGACAGAGCATCCACAGCTCTCTGGGCAAGCAGTTCCAGCACCTCACCACTCTCTCTTCGAAGAACTTCCTCTTGACATCCAGTCTAAACCTACCCTCCTTGAGGATAAAACCATTCCCCCTTGTCCTGTTGCTGCCTACCCTTGTAAAAAGTTGATTCCCCTCCTGTTTAGGGCAGTGCAGGCAGACCTTTCTTTCTAAACAAAAGAAAGTCAGGATCCCTCTGCTGGAGCAAACCAGTTTGGTTGTTGTTTTTTTGGGTTTTTTTTGTCTTTTTTTTTTTGTTTGTTTAATGATAGCAGCCAGTGCTGGGCAGTGCAGAGCTCCAGAAGAGCAGAGTGAAGTTAAAGAACAGGTGGCTGGCTACGTGTGTGCCAGCCCTTCCACGCTGATTACTTTCATTTTCCTGAAGGAGATCACAGCCAAATCAGCCCATTGCATTAGGAGCATGCCAAGTGACAGCAAATCCCAGAAAAGGAGCCCCTGCACATCGACGTGGGAGTGAAGTCAGTCACCATCAGGCCACACAATGCTCTCCAGCTTGGCTTTGGCCTTGGCAATGAATTCCTCAGAGGCACTAACAAGAGGAAGCCGTGGAGGTCCCATGGGGATGCCAGAAACAAAAGTCATTACAGCCTTTGTCTGTGCAACACCAAAACCTGGGCAGACAAAAGCAAGATCAGGTTATTTCACACATACCAGTCTCTGGGCAGAAGTCAAAAAGCCGCAGCACACAGTTCCTGTGTAATATGGCATCAACCAGGCTTGAAGCACTTCCCAGAAGTGAGAGCAGCATAACAAAGAGATGATTGTGCTTGCAGGCAGGAAAGACATTACAGCAAAAACTACACCTAGTTATTACATGTCTTATACTACTACTGTTTCCCTACCAGATCAAAGTATTATCTTAGACATTCGCTTCCCTTTCTGCAACATTTACAGCCTCACAGCTATCCTTGCACAACGTATGAAGCATTCATGTGAAATAGAACCCTGGGAATGATAACACCCTGTTGGCATGCGATGGTGTCAGCAGGGCAGCAGCTTCAACCACCACGGGAAACTTCAGGATGCCTACCTGCCTGTACATCAAGTCTCTTTATGTACCTTTGGGTGTTTGCTTCTTAATCTGTAAGACTAAATGATGATGCATTTCCTCTTATTTCTAATCTGAAAGCTCAGTTAGATTCATTGGAGTACTTATAAAACATGTATAGCAAAAGCACAGTGGATGGTTCTGTTCAACATGTGATCATTTTCAAATATCTTATTCAGTCTCTCTACATTACTCTGGTTTAGTTGGTTTTAATTGCTTTTCATATTAAAATTTAACTTCTAAAAATCAATTCAATTTGAAAATGCTTTGGCCTTGTACATCCTCAAGCAGTTACTCTAAAATTATAGAGCAGCATGAGAAACAAGTATGAGAGCTGCATTCCCCTACTTGGGCATCACTATTCCAGAGAGATGACTCTTAACAAACATTGCCAATGGGCTTTAGGAGACTAAAAACAAACAAACAAACAAAAAAACATAAAAAGAACACTACAGTCAGAATAAGAAAAAAAGTAAATCACAGCTTTAAAGCCGTGAAATTTCACAGAAGGAAGTGAGAGTGAGATCTCTCAGGGATGCTTGGTCAGCTATCAACTCAGGAAGCTGCATAAGTAGCAGTTTCTCATTGTGAAATCTTTCAGGAAGGAAATTCTTAGGGCACAGTGTCTCTGGAGTACTGAGTCTGCATGTTAAGATATAACAACAGACATGGGCAGTATAGAACTTACCTAGTTTGATGACAAAACTGAGAAATTCCCCCGTGAGAAACTAAAAGAGACAAACAACAGTTTATCCATTCCTTCAAATTTAAGGAAGCAGAAGCATATAGAACCATAATGATATTTACATTTCATACAATTGCTACACTGCTTTGAGAAAAGTCTTTGGTCACTGTACTATGGTAGAAAGCACAGCAACAATAACAGAGCATCAAGGTCTCAGGCTACAGTAAGTGAGGCTTTGCTCAGATGCAACAGTCATAGGCACAAAAATAAAGGAAAGTAACTGCTTCCCTTCAAAAAGCTTCAGGTAGGCAGGACCCTCCAAAAGAGGCACTTGCCTCCACTGCCAACCCTTAAATGAGGTCTGGAAACCTTGAATGAAGTGCACTGCTTGCACCTGAACCCCCCTGTGTTGGCCCTGCCTTCCTGCCAGGTGCTCAATCACTATTTCAAGCCATGACTTAGCTTTTCCACTACAGCCACCTGGGCAGCCCATGTGAAATAATAACTCCATTCCATTGGAATAGGTGAGAGAGTGAGATATTAAAAAAAACATTAGTCTCATTCTATTACTAAAGCTCAAGCTGTCTCTCATTGCAAGCAGTTTGTAAATAGTGGTAAGTCTTGTAGCAGGTTCCAGGGGTTTACAAAGCTGAACACCCAGAGCCTAGTGAAGAGATTTCCCAGAGCAGACCATGCTTTAGATGTTTGGGTTGTTTTACATTCATTCTGCAGCCACATATCTTTTAAGGCAAAAAAAAAGATGTGTCAAATGTCTCAGTGAGACACAATGATAGAGTAGAGTTTGCATACTGGTTGTTCAGAACTCCTCCAAAACCTTCATGCAGCCTAAGTCCAGGAGGGGTCAGGGCAGAGCACATTTGGGAGAGTTTTCTGTATTACATCTTGTAAGGTATCAGAATATGCCTAGCCAAGGATTTTAGCCACTGTGGGGCCTGCTCAAGGCAAAAGGCCAAGCCACTGTTTGTTCTGCATAAATGAAACCAGCGTGCTGACAGATAAGTATATGTTCAGTATATGTTGAGTTATGAATAGAAAACAGGGGGCTGGAGCTGAAAGCAGTTTGCTTTAGCAGAGATATGTCAGGGCACAGAACAAAACCACACAGAGCACACCCCAGTGCAGGTAGAGGAGAAAGAAGGCTGCTCCCTGTGGGGACAGCAAAAATACTGTACCTGGTACTTCTGTGCTAATGCAAGGTCTGGCTTTGCAAAAGCTTGCAACATCAGGTTGGTTTTCCTACCTAGGTAGTTGTAGGTACTGCCAAAAAAAAAAAAAGTAAATTAGATTAATAAAGCCACAAAGTTAGAAAATGTGGAATAAGAGCTTAGAAGCACTGAAACAAAGTAGCTGCTGGTTTTCTCTCTTGACATTATCAGAATGCCTGTTACTTTCCTGCAGTCTAAGTGCTGTTAACAGAAAAGCATCAGAAGTATGCAAGGCCTATGAAGTAGTTTAGAGATCAGATTTCTCTCCCAAGTTCTTTCAAAAGGGAATTGTTTTTCAAATGTACAAGTAAAAATAAGTAATTATTGCTAACATTCTAGGTAGTAATTCATTTAATGGATCATCTCACAAAATCATAGAGAGCATACAGGAATTCATTTAAGCCCAGCAACCCAGCACAAGAGGAAGAAGTGAAATCAGAAACCAAACTTGGCAAACACTGTTGAAGAGCCCACAAACTTATAAGGTGAACTGAAGTAAATGACTTGAACCTTTCTGGGTTTTGGTTCCTTACTAATATGATGAAGATAGGAGTGATTCCCTATTTCAAAAAAAAGTATGCTAAAACCTTTGTGTTTGCTTATGGACTGCAGCAATAATCACTTAATCTATAATAAAGGTATATTACACCCTGGGGTCCTAGATAATAAAAGTATCCCAGTGCTACCTTGTCTGTCTGCTATGTACTGTGCAGCTTTACCCTGCAGAATCCTCTGTCTCTGTGACAGGATAGTTACAGAAACACCCCATAGACAGTGGAAGATGTAACAGTAAGATGTGTGTGGGAGAGGGAAAAGAGTTTAAGCAATACTGACCTTCCAACTGCTCCATTTGCCCCTATTGCCAGTGCACTCAACAGTTGCTAGTTTAGGGTAGGAGGAGAAGGAGAATGTTAAATAAATAATCATAGATGCACTTTCAAGAAGAGAGAAACCTCCTGGGACATCCAGGAAGGGAGGAGGACCTCGGCCCAAAGGGATGTGGTTAGTGGGCAATATGGGTGGTAGGTGGATGATTGACTAAATGATCTTAGAGACCTTTTCCAACATTAATGAGTCTATGATTCTAAGATTTTTACTTCAATTAACAACAGAAAGGGGGGTGGGGGAAAGGGGAGGGGAAAGAGAGGAGGACAGCAAAACTACCTGGCACTGTATGTCCAGGGTTATTTTTTTCCTCAAAGCTGAAGCAAGAGAATACCTTAGAATAAATCATTAAAAGGAGTCTCTTACCTCATCTACTCCATAGAGAAACACAAACCGTTCTCTCTCATTCTTGTTTATACACTGTGCAAGGTCCAAGAGGTCTGTGTCGCTGAACTTCACACCCTGGAAGGTGGGGATCTGCTCTCTTATTCCATCCAGCAGCTCCTCAACACGAACTGTGCATAACAGCAACCACACATGAAGAAGCACAGCCCTGTTCTGGGAGATTTCCCTGTCTCTTCCCTAAGTGGTAGATTTTATTTTACAGATTACACACTTTTGGCCTAAGCTTGGTAAACTACATAGCTTTTAAAACAACTATAAGACAAGTTGAGTGACATAAAAGTTACATTAAAAACACATTTTTGAATACTTTGAAAAATTCCTTTTACAAGATCAAGTAGAAAAACCCTAGATAGGTGAAAGTTTAGGAATGAACTGGCAACACAGTATTAAAGAGTAAATACCAAGTCATACATCTAGAAACATCACATCACCTGATGCCTAGTGCAACTAGCTTAAAATCAGTTTTCTATTCATATTCCTTTGCTAAATAGTAAGACTTGAAAAGCATTCAGATTTTGAATGTAGTCTATGAGCAAACATGACAATGCATTCAGTGTATACCAAGAGAGATTGTGGTCACTCTTCAAAAAAAACCAAATGGGATTCTACTTTGCTTACCCAAGGCAGTTATCTATCATGGGCCACATTAGCTGCAAAGCAATATTTGCTGTTAACTCCTCTATTCCAGTTGCTGAGAAATCAGAAGCAATGACTTTTTCCACTAAAGAGAAATTCATTGTATCTTCCAGTCTTGGAAACTAATCCCAACCCAATGACCCCTACCATAATAGCTTGTGTATGATGGGAGCAGAAGCCATTGGTAGGTCAATCACACCAGCCACTGGGATCACCCAGGATGCTGTGAGTTTAGGGGCTCAAGAAGAGCTGACTAAGCAGTACTTACTCTTTACACCCGTCAGAGCTGGAATGTGGTAGTAATAAAATGGAACTGTAGGGGCTTCGGATGCAACTTTCTGTAAGAAACCAAGGAGTTCATCTGGAAGAAAAGGACCAAATGAAGGGAATTTCAAATTCACAGCAGCAAGGGACTGTGGAACAACCATTCATAGCTTGTGGAACGTATATAGCCAATAACATATAAACCTGCACACATCACAAAAATAAAATGTAACTATCCTTAATGGAAGACCTCAGGGAAGGTCATATATATTCTAAACCAATCTGGTTTCAGCTGACATTCTTCCTGAGAATCTTTTCATTGCATCCTTCATAATCCTGAGGCAATCTTCTCATAGGCATTAGAAGGAAGAGGAATGTCAAAAAGCTCTGTGTTTAAACCTTGCTGTCATCCTACTACAATCACTGCAAAGGTCTTCTTCTGCTGTTTGCGCCTCTGTGTTTACCAATTCAATTGCTGCTGATTGTGTCCTTGGCCATTGATACCAGCCATTCTGGCAATCCACTCCTGTTTCTTCTGGTGCTTTCATAAGTATACAATTTCATTCATAAACCACTTAGACAAAACATTTCTGTTTCAAACCTCCATGTGATACGTGTTTTGTTTTTGTTGGTTGTTTTTTTTTGGTTGGTTGGTTGGTTTTTTTAATCTTATGTTAGTTATATCAAAAGCAAAAGACTCAATTTCTAAGTTTTGAGAACCAAAGGGCAGATAATCCTGCTAGGCATGCCAAGTCACAAACCCCACTAGCTCAATGACAGTGGATGTGGCTGTATCTACAGCTCATTGAGTTGGTCGGCATCCACTGAGGGTGATCATGGATCTGAATTCTTTCTAGCATAGCCCAGATCAAGTGTGACCTCAGTACTGTCTACTGTGTAAGCTGACTACTCTCTCAAAAGACACCCCTCCCACTTCTTGCTGTGAAACATTTGGTACTTCCTATTTTTAAAAAGATTGTACTAGGTTTTGCTTTTGTATGGTACCAGACACATCACGGATGTGCAAACATTATAACCACCATATTTTACAAAGAAAGAAAACAGAACACGAGAGGATTAATGCACAGCTCGAATGCCTAGCCTTAGAGAATATCCTTTAAAATGTAGGAATTGGAAGAGACACCTTGAAAGCAGCTGAAAATACTCCTATTGCTCAGAGAAAAGCCACACTTGCTCTACAAGGAGCAGTATTATCATCACTGGTTCTCATGGAGAACCAATAGTATAAAAGGGTCTCAGGAGATCTGGCAGTCACATCTACTCACCTTTCTTTGTGGGTTTGAAGAAGGAGGGAGCTATTACTGCAATACCACTAGCACCTATGGCTGCTGCATGTCTGGCCTACAAAAGAAGGAATCATAAATACCTGAAGGTACATCTGCTTTTATGTTTATTATGCACATAGTGGAAAGAAGTCTTATAGTATACACACCAGTTCTTGGGACTCCAGTAGACTTAAAGCTCCCACATGAATTATTACATGATCCAGCCTGCACAACAACAAATTCAGAAGGTTTGAGGTTTCAGCAAAGACAAAAAATACCCATCTGCCAAAAAGAACCAGTTTAAACTAGGAAGTGACACAGACTAAGAACTTCAGTGGGCTAAATTAAAAAACAGCACCACCTTTGGCTGTCTGCTCCTGCTAAGGGAATTTCCAGGGTTTTTGTCTGTCCACCCTTCAGTGCTGCAAAGAGGAGGACTCTCACAAGCTCTGAGCTGAGTGGAAATGGATACCAGCTAACTGGCAACTACAAAAAAGCAGGCTTCTATGACAAAGGAGCTGGGGAACAAAGCTCAGCAACAAAAGTACTCAAAGACAAAAAAAATGTTATCAGCAAATGTGGCTTTGCAATCAGGTATGCCTGTACCATAACGTGAGACTTGGAATTCCCGGCTCCCTCTCAGCTACTCACTTGTCTTTCCCTTGGCACATCCATTCTTCTGCCAACTGCTTCCTCTCCTGGATGCTAAGGGACAGGCCTTCTCCTGTGGTGCCATTCACTGTTTCAACACAACACAACACAACACAACACAACACAACATAGCTGTTGAGGTCTGGCCCAATACATTGGTTATACTGAAAAAAAGTACTGACAATTCTGATGATATTAAGCAGTATTATATTTCCCTCAATCAATTTTAAGACATCAGTCTGCACGAGCATCTGCAAGGGGTTTACAGTGTTGTCACTGCTAAATGCTTGTGTCTAAAGTATATTTCAGCATCAGCAGTTGTGAGAGGAAGGAGACAAAGCCAGCTGCTGAAACTGTCCCATGTCCTCCCCAGCAGATGATACCTCTTTCACCCAGCAAAAAGTTAAGTGCATGAAAGGACACTCAGCAAGGGAACTGTCACTCCTTCACTACAAGGAATCTGAACTGAAATGTGGTGATTCTGTCATGAGTGGAACCATGTATCTGAGGCTTAAGCACCTAATGGAAACAAGGAAATGTCAGTACACTCTGTCAAAAAATAAAAATAAAATAGATTAAACTGAGGCTGCTGAAGTCACTGCCATGCTCCAGTTTCCATTCTGCACGTCTTTTGACTAAAATTTTGAACAGAAACCTCAGCATTGACTTCAGCTTACTTAACTATGCAAGACTATGAACAGAAATGGTTTATCAGATGCTCTGTCACCTATCCAGCCATCCCTCAGAGAGGGGAACAAGAGAGAGCAGCAGCTGCTGTTGTATCACACAGTGCATCACATATCTCTTACAGAAACTCACTTGGCCTTGAGGAACCCTTTGGAACTTCTGGACTGCTGAGTGAATGTTTTTTAAGTCAGATGATTATATCTTACTCAGGAAAAGGGAAGAATCATTCAATTGAGTCTTCTCTTTCAAATACAGCATTATCCATGACTGCTGGGAAGTCACTGTGTGAAGGCAATTCTAATTTTACCCTGCACAGAAATGGGCTGTAGGTAAAACCAGATCTTTAAGTATTGTTTACACCATCTCCAGTGGTGAATATAAACATGAGTGATGACTTCACATACACAATCCCTCCCATTCCAGCTCCTATCAGGCTAGACATCACAGGATTGCTTTCCAGACAAAAGGAACATTACGCACTTTCTGTGGGGAAATAAAGAAAACTTACCAAAGATGTTCTTCACGTTCTGCTTGCTTACCAGGTAATCCACATACTGGTGAATCACTGAAAGGTTGATTTGTCTGAAATGAAAGGAACCACAGCAACTTTAGGAGTCTCAGCAACCATAAGTGTCTACCTACAGCAATTTTAAACTTAGAGATTCAGTAATCAAAAATAAAGTCATGTATTTCTGAAGTCTTGCATGTGTGCATGCACAAATTACCCCAAGTTATGACACCTTCACCATGTGTTTAACATTCCACAAGCAATGAGGCACACTTGAACCTTCTGGACTGCTAAGAGAAGCAAGAGTGCTCTTGAGAGCACAAAGGTATTTGTGCACGTGCTGGCAAATAGTTAAACTACACTTGTAACTACAGGACATGGGCTGCGAGACAGAGCCTGCTGCATGTGACTTTGACCTCTCTCTCTGATTAAAGGATGGAGAAAACAACAGACTTCCCTGACAAACAGCGGAAACTGATTTATAGGCTTGTTTTCTCTCCAGAAAAAAAAAGAAAAAATGTTTATCAGTGCACAGTATTTTATTCTTGTTCCCATTTGCTAAACATGCAGACTGACCCCACAGTCTGACGTTCGATTCTGGGACCTTTACTGGGTTTACAATTTACCCCAATTCTCACAGGATGCATCTTATGAGGGCCAAGCATCCCAGGCAGAGGGCCCAGGTGACACTCCGAATACCACCTTGCAGTATTTTCAAGCAGCAATAAAAAACAACACTGAAAAGAAGTTTTCTTTAAAGGAAGAAAGCAAGCAGTGACTGCAATGTACATAAATTCCCTTACTGACACAGGACCATGCTCTACAGCACATCTACATTGTAAAGGCTCACTTTCAGAGGACTGTATCAATAAATAACAACCATTTTCTTCAAAAATATAAACCGTGACACATCCCCCACTAGAGAAGCTCGGGGCCCTTTGCTGACTCCAAACAACTCCGTCTTGCAACATCAAAGTGCAGTAAGGAGGACATCTGTTTATCATCTCTTCCACGAGGAAGGCGGAAATTGAACTTTTGATTTGACATTATTTTTGGAACCGTGCAGTCCTTGCAATGTTTTGTTCTGGTTTAGACTAATTCTGCTGACACATGCATGCACGCAAGAGCACGCAGGAGTTAGTTAGGGGCAAGAAAAGAGTAAAAGGTCATCAGATTTAGATCATTTCTTAGCTCTTAAGACTCCTTTTTA